TACACTACAGCAGAATGTTGACACACATACAGTATCTAACTGAGACATGTGTGTTTGTAGGGGCAGCCGAGATCAGAGGAGCCCTTACCCACCTACGTGTCCCTCTTCTCTGATCGCATCCCCAACACCACCAACCAGACATTTGGCAGCAGAATGTCCACTCCGCTGGGGAGTGAATTGGTCAGATTAGACAGGTTGCTGCTTTGGCAGAAAAACCATCACATGCGCAAGCAAGATCCAGAAATGCTCCCCTGCTAGATGAACCTGGAGCACAATCAGCTCACATCCGGACCTCTGCACACCTCGTCGGCTTTGTTAGCTCAACTCCTCAGAACAGGGACTGTACTGCTCAGTTGTGCTTGGCAACATGTAATAAAGCTTAGTTAGTTTAGACTGAATGTTCAGGGTTTGTTTTAGTCACGAGTAAATATTGATAAAAATGCAGACATCTATTTAGAAGCCGCCATGTTAGAAGAGTAATAAGAAAAGGTTGTTTACTGTCTGCTAATTGACCCTAATTGGCTTTATGCTCATAAGTTGTGTTTATTACTAGGTATGGGTGCTAATTGCAAGAAAACAAAGGTCACAGGCAGCACACAGAATTTAATGGTAAAGTTAATAGCATGCTGTTAAGGGCAGGAGAGAAGGGAAGACTCAGGCAGATCAGATTCATGTCATCTGAGCTCCATCAAGTATTTAAGTAGACACTTGATCATCTAACAAGACACCTGATCAAATTTAGATGAGTGAAAGGTTGTACCACTTCTTTTCTTTGCCAAAGGCCTCAAATAGTATGCAATAAAAGAAAAAGCACAAAACAGCCTGTAGATCCTTAAACAACAACTATGTAGCAGGGATTACAAATAGTTCTTATACAGGAATTTACCATGTGAGAATCTGATGCTGTATTTTATTTTGCTGTTCATACTTTTTTATGTATGAAATGTCTGTTACATATACTGTCACATGTTTCTCGGATACAAGCCATTGTTTCACTGAGGAGCCATATTATCTACAGTTTGTTTGATGAAGCTGTAGCGTACACACACCTGCACCTTGTGTGAACGGCAGCATATCGCAGCTTTTTGTACTGATGTAGCAGCTTTAGCATGCCATTTAGGATACTGTAATGTGATGAAACACTGCCCCTTTGTTTGAATCTGAATAAAAATGTTGTTCCCCACTGAATTCGAAAAGCATGTTGTTGTAAGATGATTTTGGATGTTGTTGCATCATATAATGCAAAGTCGCCCTGGAATAAAAGTTTTGCATTTTAAAGTGTGTCTGTGCTGAATTCTTTTTTAAATGCTGAAAGTATTATAAATGATAAATGTTAACATTGCTCCGTTTTAAAGGAAGGACATGACTTTTACAGCAGTAATTGTGTTTTGATGCTTTCTATTGTGTCAGGGTGACCAAGTAGTTGTGACCAACCAGAAAATGTTTACACCGGCTTAGTAAAGTTTGCATTTGGAGACAGTGAAAGTGAACGTTTAGTGTCTTGCCTATCTCAGACATGCATTCCGCAAAACGTACTAATTAAATGATCCTGAGGAAACGCTCTCTCATCTTGCCTGTACTACTGTGTATGTAAAGCAAAATGACAAAAAACTTGATTTAATTTGATTATTTTCATAACAAAGTGTATATACAGTATATAATGCATCTGTCTTTAATGTTTAAATAAAGAACCTGTTTGTAGATGTATTTATTTGTTAAAGTGTTCTGTGATTTAGTGGAAGCTCTTCTTTCACATAAAGATTGTATGGGTGAAAGCTACTCTGGAAACAAGTGGTACAAAATACTAACTGGTGCAAGAATGAGTCTGAACCTGCAGCCAAAAGAAAGAAACTACAGGTTGGAATCTGCACAGTGGGATGTTTCACATAAGTGGGTTTCCTGTGCAGAACAAAATGTGCCACCCCAGGATGAGCAACGGTCTCAGCATGACTATAGAAACCATCTACCTCCACCATAGTTTAAGATGATTGCAAGTGGTGATGATGATTGCATCATATGACTTCAAGTCAGTGTGTCAAGTGTGTGTGTGCTGATTTAATGTTGTTATGCTCTAAGAAGTAGATAACACCAAATGTTTCATCCGTGAATCAGCTTTTACAATATTATTAAATATTATTTCATTTTATTATCTACATTTGAAACGCCTCAGAGAAGCTTGCTTATTTTAGGTGCGCTGAAATGTTTTACATCACGTGGTTGCAGGAAGGACTTTCTTGTAAATTGCACAGTTTCAAGAAAGTTAAAGTGCAACCCATTTTTAGTCAGAGCAGATTTTCAAACGCTGTGGTGGAACTGAGGATGTTAGAGCCAATCAGCTTTCAGAGGATGAATGCGGAAATGAGAACCGGTGCCGGCTGACAGGAAATTGTTAAGTTAATAATACAATAAAGGAAACCAAAAATGTTAGCGTTCAAAATAAAATATTGTTATACATATTTATACATGTATTTTCAGAAAATAAGCCATATCTAAACTAGATATATACTTATATTTCTAATATATATATCTTTGAGTTTTTAAAACATGAATTTGATGCTTTGGCACAATTAGAAATTCAAGTTCACTTTTATTTTGAAAGCTCCAAACGTACATTTTTTTCTAAATTCCAGGAACTTGACAGATGTGACAGCGCAGCAGCATCTGGCAGTCAGTTTGCTTTTTGCAAAGAAAACCTCAGAGACAAGGCAAAAAAGTTCCACATCTCGTTGTTTCCACCCTCACACGATGCAGTCCGACACGTTGCTGCATATTTGCAATTTCAGCACTCTGTTTGTGTGCATGGTGCTGAAGTTCCCGCAGATCTTCGTCCTGATTAGAGCTAAATCTACGACTGGAGTCAGTCTCAACAGTCTGCTGCTGGAGCTGCTCGGGTAGGCGAGTCTACTACAACTTCATCCATGTGTTGTGTTGGAGTAAACGTGTGTAACTTGTTGGGAAAATGTAAATAACTTGTTTCCAGTGTGATAAGCTACATGGCGTATTTTTAACTTATACAGGTGTTGTGTGAATATGAAGTCTTCCTGATGCCCACAGGCTACATCTCATGTGAAGAGAAACTCCATTAAAAAATCGTCAAATTTCTGATTAATCATTGTTATAGATGAGGTTGCACACATCCCTGAATGTAATACCAAACTGCTACAGCATCTCTAATATATAGTGATCAATTCGGCTTACATCTTAGCCACTTAGCCCATTTTTTGTATGTATATATATATATTGCTGTTGAACCATTGTCCAAAAGCAATAACAAATAAATGTTGCATGAAATACAACAGAGAAACAAAAATTATATTACAACACAAGTTTTATATATATATTTCCTTTAGGATTTTCATCACTAATGTCTTAATTACTCAGGTAAATCCACACCATTATCAACAATGTAGGTTCTTAATCTCATTATTTCAACTTGTTAGGTTGATTTGTAAAAAACTGTTTCTCTTCTGTAAAGCACTTTTGCTCAGCAGTTGCTGTTGCTTTAAATGTGCCGTATAAATAGCTGCGACTGCACTTGACTGCAGCAAAAAATGTGAAGTGAGTTCTTCTTTCAGATGAACATTTAAATAGATCATGAGGAGATTGTCTCCACGAGGCCCGCTGACTGATGCACACGACTCAAAATCTGCCCTATAATGAAGAAGTAATCCCTCCATGAAGGCTTAACACTGAACAACTGTGCTTTGTTTACACACCGGAGGATTTTTTGGTGAAATTATTGAGGACAAATAAAATTTGGCCTGTGCTTAATGTGTGTGTAAAATGGCGTGCTGTCTGATGTATCTGTGCCGTAGATTTAACTGGTTAATATGTACTGAGCAGAAAGTGTTGTCCCTGTTTTAAGGCTTAAATCTGAGGATTCAGTGTTGGAACAACTGTTGGGGATAAAATCAGTGTCTGTGCGGCTCTATCACAGACTCCTGCCTCCCCCTCGGTGCCTGGCAGTAGCTGCACTGTCCTACATAAATGTGTCCACTGTGTTGGTGAGCGATAGCCTGCTGTCACTGTGCATGCACCAGCCTTAAAACTCTTAAGATGTTTGTGGAGTGATAAAGAAGCCTTATCAGCAATAGTTACACAGCATGTGCTACAATGCAGAGAAGCAGCTCCCCTAAATAAACTGGAATGTTTTCATCCTTGTCATTCCTGGTGAATCTCCGAGGGTTGGTGTTGTCACTGATGTGACCGCAGTTGGACTGTAACGTAAGCAATATCTAATAGCTCTTATCATAGATCATATCAGCTTGCAGTCAGGTTTTATCTATCAGTAGCTCAGACTGGGTGACTTTCAGCCAATCTAGGAGCAAATAGCAGTCCGAACATGAAACCTGTTTAAATGCAGATAGGTTAATCTGCTATTTATGTCAATGTAGGGGTCAACAAATATGGATTGTTTTTTTTTTTCAGGGCCAATAACAATAATGAATGATCAAGGAGAGCAGTATCCAGTTTCTGAAACCCAAATTGCTTTGCAAGAAAAATGAAAAGCTTGATGTCAGAATAACACCAGCTCAAACAGAAAACTTTGTTGAAATGCCATTGTTGATGTGATAATCAGATGTTACATTAAAAGGTCATTAGGAACTTTAGGGCATTACAAACATGATAGAATGCATCTTGCAGCTTTGGCTTGAATGTCATTTATCATTGTGGCAACTTCATTTGGCATTAGTTTCGATGCCTGTATACATATACATCCAGCAGCATGTTGCCTTGTTGAATTCCCTCTCCATCACTGATTAAACCCTTAAAAACTCAGCTCCATAGATCAAACATATTTAAAATTTTATCCAATTAAAATGGTTTCTTCCATCGCTGTCTGTACTTACTCCTGTACCGCTCACTGCAACCCAAGCACACCAGCTTACACATAACTCTGCTCAAACACTGTAAAAGTACTGTACGCTACACAAGGGAAAGTTCTAATATTTGAGTACTTCAAACTGGAAACTGCTGATGAGAAATGAAAGAGAAAGCCCCACCCTGCAAGCTGACAGGATGAAACCCTGGAACTCTAAATCTGTGTTTCTGAGTCTGTCTGATGTACACTCCACTCTAAAGGTGGAAACGCACAGCCATAGTGTTTACTGCCTGTTTTGTTCACGATATGTTTCTTAGCATATACAAAACACCATGTGGACATGCTGTGAAGGTGAAAAACGAAACAGATTTTCACTGGAGGGGGTCTTTCAACAGTCGAGCAGCAGAAATTCTTTCACTGACGACTGTTGATTCATCCTGTTTGCTGAACATATTCTGCTAAGCTGTTACCATAAAAGAATGAATAAACTGCCACTGCTTGGCCATGAAACTTGTCACCAGTTGCCTGTAAGCTGCCGACATGCTTAATGGATCTGTTCTAACTACAGGGCTTTGAGAGATCCGTTTTTATGCCAATGACTCAGATCCTGCCTTGTTTGTTCCTGTACAGTGTTTCATTTTCAGTATGATGCACTAAAATTTAGTAACATGGCACCGTATGCTTCGCAGGTTCATTGTTTTTGTAACGTACCAGATGTACTATGACTACCCACCTCCTACGTACCTGGAATACCCCATCCTCATTGCCCAAGGTACGTCACCTCACGCTGGTATATCATTTGTGTGCGGTTATAAAATTTTGAGCAAATCTGGTGTTTCTTTTCAGATTTTCTGCGCTGTGCTTGTTTTTGAATCTAGAGTCCTTAATTAGATTATCCTTCAAACAGAGCGCTGAATTCCTCATTATCCTCTCTGGAGTCCTGCTCTGTTGGCATCACTCAGGAAAGAGCTCAATCACACTAACTTATCTTGTACATGTGCACGGCTTCACAGTCAGCTGACAGTTCTATGCCCATGGGAAGGAGGAAACTGTATTTTAAGTACTGAAAGTTAAAGTAGTCAATGCAGCAAAATAGCTTGTTACATATTGTTTCATTAAAATATCATTACTTAAGCGTTAACATAAAATTGAAATATAAGCATTTTAGTTGACTGAAGAGATTTTGGTATTTTCTGACGTTAGTAGGTTATAGAAAGCTGATATAGATTTTTTTTTTTTATCATCCTTGCATGACAAATGACTTAATTATTTCTGAATATTCTGTTAATCAACTGTTAATTTCAGCTGTATTGTTTGAGTACTTTAAAAATCCTTCATATTTTTAGTCTTAAACTGTAACATAACCTGTAACTGAAGCTGTTGCATTCTACCACCTATTTTACCACCTTTTTTATTATTCTAGACAGGGATCTGATCATGAATCATAGATCATCCACATGGGTGATGTGAGAAATCATTTATGCCATTTAGGACACGATCACCATGTAGTAACAAGTGACTTGACTGAAGTCTTAACTGAACGGGTCATTTAGTCATTTTTGACCTTCATTGATACCCATTTGTAACAAATGGGAATTGATATAACAGAATCAGGTCTTCATTCTGTGCTCACATCTCACAAATTAGCCAATATCCAGCTCAGGAGACAGATACGTGCCTAAAAAGCTGGTGGTTAGAGCAAGTAAGGAGGCAGTAAAACCTTATATTCTATTCAGAAAGTATTTAGATGCCTGAGTTGATTGAACGGAGCTGAGAGAGGCACACACTTGTGTATTTAAGAGCCCATAATTCACACTGCACGTCAGGATTAAAAAACAAACCATGAAGTCTGAGGAACTCTCTGTAGACCTCCATGATAAAGTGTAGTCAGGCATAGTTCATTGGAAGAGCATAAATCCATTTCCAAAGCTTTAGTTTTAAACCATGTTCTACCTAGAAATTGCCATTCAGCAAGTAACTGAGCAAGAAGAAGTTCTCTGTAGAGATGGGATGACCATTTCAGTAGCACTCCATCAGTTAAGCCTGTATTCTGTATAAGGCTAGACAGAGAAAGAAGAGTGAAGGTGTATGACAGCCTGCTTAAAGTTAGACAAATGGCATTTAAAGGAGCATGAAGAAGGACTCACCACCCTGATGAGACAAGAATTAATCTCTTTCCGTAGAACTCCAAGTACTCTGCCTGGCACACTGCAGGCCCAGCTCACCAGCTGGGTAATACCATTTCTGCAATGAAGCATGGTGGTGGCAGTATCATGCTATGAGGGTGCTTCTAGGTGGGACAGGGAGACTAGTCAGAAATGAGGGAAGACAAAGGCAAACAAATACACAGAGGTCCTTGAAGAAAACTGTAGACTGTTTGTAAAGATGGATGAACTTCCTTAAAGTCACCCACAGGTTAAAGCGGACCATCCAAACATGTCTCAGCAGAGAGGTATGAGATAAATCACACAGGTCTGTAGAGAGTTACCCAAGAGTCTTGAAGCTGTAATTGCTGCAGAAGGGACGTCTACAAAATACTGATTTAAGGATCTGAATCCTTTGTAAATGAGATTTCAGTTTCAGATTTTTAATACTTTTGAAAACAATGTGACTGGAGGAGTTATTGAGTTCAGATTGGTCGGCAAACGTATCCATTTAACATTACACATATAACACAATAACATGTGCAAGAAGTGAAGATGTCTGAAATACTTACTGAATACCGAAGCAACCGCAGATCAGTGGTCCTTGAAATGAGTGTGAAACCCAGCCTTAAGTGGTGCATGTTCTGCCCTGCCCTGTGTCATCAGATGTCATTCTTCTGCTCCTGATTCTTCATTACAACGGCAGCCTCCGGCAGAGCCTCATCTACACCTTGGTGTATCCTTTAACTTTCTTATACCAACAGACCCGAAGCTGTTCATTTGATGTTGAAGAAAATCAATGACCCATTAGTCTTTTGTGTCACGTGCTACTGCCTTAACACAGTGCGTTCAGGTTTGTCGGCGGTTGGAGGCTCCTCACCGTGGACAAGTGGATCATAGATTTGGCCATGGTAATAAATCAGTTTAACATCAATCATAAGTCACAGTATATAACAGAGTAAGCAAAGAGATGGCATGTCATCAGTCAGGAGTAATGAGGTGGAGACTTGAGAAGAAAGTTATCCAGACCTCATTTCACCTGGTGTTTCTCAGAAAAAACACCCAGACCTTATAAAACGGCCTCGTTGGTTAATGAGATGAATATGTCTTAAGGCCTTTTGCATATAAATAGGTGAGAGCAGTGATCCTGAAACTTCCTTTCTTCCTAAAGTTTAAGACATTAGAAGCTACAGAAAATGTTTGAAACTTTTCTTTTTTTTTTTTACTTTTTGAAATTCAGCTCAGTTGTAGAGCTTGTCATTGTATAATATGAAGTCTGACCTCCACTCTCTTCTCAGAGCCTGTGCACGTTCATTAGTGCAGCCAGTAAGTTTGCTCAGCTGCAGTGCCTGTGGAGGTCCAAGGACGCCGGACAGGTTAGCGCGCTCTCCTGGGGTCTGGCTACCTACACATGTATGGGTGAGTGTAAACCAAGTAGTCCTCGGTGTTTTGCTGCTGTACCTCTTTTTTTTCTCAAAATCCTGACTCTGGCAGTTTGTTTTCCAGCAGCTATGTTCCATTTTCCAACCCTTTACCCCCTAGAAATACCTTATAGCAATACCCTTTAAACCTAAGGGTTGAACTACGAAGCGGGATTTCGAGTTAGTGAGGTAACGTCAGGTTTGATTTGGGGCATTCAAGGTTGTGATGCTGATTCACTTCCTAAGGGGTGCATTGCTGTCGTAGCATATGCTGCACACATACCCTACTCTGGAACAGATAACAGCACAATACAACATCAACAAAAGTACTGCTATCTGTATTGTTTGTATAGGATCCCAAGAAGCTTGAGGTGGGGATAGTGAGGGAATATTTTACGAGGACAACAGTTTGTAGAGTTTTCTTTCCCTGACAAACACAGCAGAGGGAACTTCAGTCTTCTTTTCTTAAATTTTTTTTTATTTCTATGTGGACTGCAATCTATTTTAAGGCAGTTTTATTCAATACGCCTTTGTATGGTGACATAATCCTACAGCAGAGACCGATAAAGCCCTAAAGCCTTTTACTTGTTGACCTTTCTAGATTTGCAGTAGCTGACTTAAAGGTTTGAATAATGTTTTTTTTATTTGTTCGTTACTCGCTCCCTCGACTGTTAAACAAAGAGTTGCAGCAGAAAGGCTGGAAGTGGACAGGCTGTATTAAAGCGACACATTTAATGGTATCCACAATTAAAATTAGAAACAGATCTACATGTGCTCTAATGGTGGGACAGTGATATTGATAAGATGATCAGCTGCAGTCAGCTCGACAGTTTTAGATGATGACTGTGGCAGCAGAGTCAAACTTGGTTTCATGTCTCAAAGGTCTCACAAGTACTGGAGTGCTTCAAATATAACAAACAGGTGGTTTGTAAACTGTGCACAGTTTCAGTGGCGTATCACATTAGCCTTAGAGTGATGTTTGAGGCCCTGATGAGAAAACAACGCCTACATTTTCATTAAATTTGAAGCTTCTGCCAAAGTCTTTGAGTACAATAAAGAGATAATCAGCTGCGCTTTGTTTGTTAGAACATTGGATGTCTTTTAGAGTTGCACTACTGACCTCATTAATAAACCCTGTTTGTTTTAAATTCATTTTTACCACATTGGAGTTTCCAGATTAAGTGCACAGTGGTGCTCTTTAATATGTAAACCTTTGTCTACATTTCCTACTGTGTTGCATCATACAGTGACATACAGTGTGTCCAAAAAGGAAAATGAATTGTTTAGATTAATTGCTTAATTTGAAAATAGTCAACAGTTTAATTGATAGAAAACTAGTCATTAGTGGCTGCCCTGCTTGTTTGGCAGTACAGGCCTCTGACCACTCTGGGTCAGCAAAAACAAGCAACACCAACATATAGGATGATCCGCTTCTAGTTGGCAAACATAATAAATGTCCCAAGCAAAACATCTGACTCCTTAGCTGCTAAATACTCCAATAGGTTCACCTGTTGAATGACAACACTGTGTGTTGTGCCTTGGCAGTAGCAGATTATGGGCTTCTAGAGCTTTAACAATGAAAAGGATGCTAACGAGAGCGTTGACAGTGAACCGACACATCTAAGTCGCACGCTGTAAAAGCCAAAGCAATGGGCTGAAAGGTTCACAAAAATGTCAGAATCCCTCTGTTATATCTGTTTAATACTGGTGTTTAGAATTCCTCAACAGATTTAATTGGCTTAACCAGTTCATCAGTTCACATAAATTCTCCTCCCCAAAGTACCGTCACTGTAATGTTTCACTTCCTGAATATGTATGATACTATTTTCTTGGGTGCTAATTTAATAAATTACCAATTCAACACTTCATTAATTAAATATCAGATGCTCTGCTGGATAATGAGGATGTCATTAACTCGGCTTCCTCTTTGTTTCAGCTCGAATTTACACCACCACAGTGACGACTGGAGACATGCAGGGTAAGTCGGTCTGAATTACAAATGACTGTGGGATGTGTAGCATCCCAGATTGGCATATTTAATAAACTCTTTACACATTTCAGAGGGAAAAGATTTGTTTTCTAAATGACTACCATCATGGTTTTACATGAGGGTTTTTGGTGGTTGTTTTGCTTTGCTGTGGTGTGCAGAGGGCAGCTTCTGGATGCTCCAAATTCAATCAGAACATGGACCCGCAACCTTCCCCCATATATGAGCCAGACTGAAAGAGACACAAAATGACTACATACAACATAAACTCTAAGATCTAGTGTCTCTGTGTTTATCATCTATTTGTATTCTGTCCACACAGCTCTACTTTTAACTGAGCTTTGTGACTATTGTACATGAACTGTTAGCAGTCACTCTGACCCAGAGCCTCCTGACCCCTTCAGCACCTGGGCCTGTTCAGTAATCCATCCATGAGTCAGTGGTCAGTAAGGACTGTTATTCCTCAATTCTCAGAAACCTGCGTAAAAGTGAAAGAGAAAGAGAAAATTGTGGTTTGGGGATTTTTTTTTTTTTTTTGTAATGACCAGGTTTGAGAACAAATTAATGCATTCAAGATGCAAGATGTAGACATGTGAATGTGAATGTGACTAGGTTAAAGTAACAGCTCATTAATATTTTGAAGTCTCACTCCCTAAAACCTCCACTTTGTCGATCAAACTTATTTGCACAGGAGTAATAGCTGGGGATCTCTAGTCATTTCCAATAGCTGCAGAGGTTATTTGTTATCTTAGTCTTGTGTGAATCTGCCATGTCTGTACTTTGTAAAGTAAAAATCACACTTTGTGATAATAGCAGTTATTTCAGCAAATCAGAAGAGTTGTTTTCTTTGCATCTAAATTATAAGGACTGCAAGTTTGGGCAGCATTTTAGGTGCAAATGCCCAAAGCTTGCGTTGCTACACAGCATGAAGACTCATTTACAGAAAGACCAAACTCAAATCCATCAGTAGAGCAACATCTTGAAGGATGATGAGACGGATGACCTTCATGGCAGCATGCAGTAGGGACATTTAGCTCTTTCAAGAGGCGTAGTCTGGGCTGCAAGGTGGATCAGTGGTTAGCACTGTTGCCTCACAGCTAGAAGGTTGTCGGTT